GAGGCCGCCGCCGCCGCCGCGCCCGAGGCCGCCGCCGCCGCCGCGCCGGAGCCCGCGGGCGAGGACGCGGGCAAGTCCTACGAGCAGAAGCGCAAGGAGAAGCGCGCGGAGCGCGCGGCCGCGAAGAAGCGCAAGGCCGAGGAGGCGTCGATGACGCCCGAGGAGCGCGCGCGGCGCGCGTACGAGGCGTCCGCGGTCACCGCCGCGGCGCCCCCCGCGGTCGCCGCCGCGCCCGCGGCGCCCGCGCCCGCCGCGGCGCTCGAGGCCCTCGCCGCGCCGCTCCGCGAGGCCGCGGACCTCGCGCTCGAGCGCGCGTCCGAGGCCGACGACAAGGCCGAGCGCGTCCTCGCGCTCGCGCTGACCGTCGAGGCGACGTGCGACCGGGGCCTGCGCCAGTCCGCGGCGGCCATCGCCGCCGCCGAGGCCGCCGTCGAGGTCGAGAACGCGAACGCGAGCCGCCAGGGCACCATCGAGGCCGAGCTCCGCGCGCTCCGCCGGTTCCAGGGCGAGTTCGAGTTCAAGCAGGAGAAGTACGCGGAGCGCTTCGAGGCCGGCGCCGCGGAGCACCGCGGCGCCCTGGCGACCTGCGAGGGCATCGCCGACGGCCTGGAGCGGCGCTGCGACGACGTCGACGCGCACGTGCGCCGCATGGCGGACCACGAGGCGCGCGACGCGGGCCGGCGCGAGCGCGAGGCCGCGCACCTCGACAAGCTCGCGGCCTGGGCCGCGGAGCAGGTCGAGGAGGTCAACGCCGCCGCGGGCCGCATCGACGCCCTCGAGCGCGTCGCGACGCGCGCGGCGACCGAGGCCGCGGACCGCGCGACGCGCCACAACCTGCCGAACGTGCTCAAGCCCATCCTCCGCGACTGGCTCGAGCACAGCGGCGTCGGGCCCGGCGTGCGCCAGGACGAGCTCGTCGCGCGCCTCGGGGCCATGGAGCGCGAGCTCGACGCGCTCGTCGGCCGCGTCGCGGACGGCGCGCTCGAGCCCCGGCGGCCGCACCCGCCCGCGGGCACGACCGCGCAGGTGTGCATCTCCTGCAACCGGCCCACGGGGCCGCACCCGGAGGCGTCGGACCCCTTCGACGTCCTCGACTTCCTCGGCGGCGGCGACGCGCCGCGCTTCGTGCCCACGCTCGACGTCAAGCACGCCGCGCCCGCCAAGGCCCCGGCCCGGCACCCGCCGCGGCCCCAGTCCGCGCCGCCGAAGCGCGGCAAGCTCAACTTCGTCAACGGCAAGTGGCAGACCGAGTCGCCGGCGCCCCGCGGGCCCCCGTCGTCCGCGGAGAAGATGGACCTCCTCCTCCAGCGCCAGTACCTCTCGCCGTCGCCGCCCGCGGACAAGCCCGCCATCCACTACAAGGTCCCGGGCAACCGGCCCACGACGCCGCGCGCCATCGTCGCCGCGGGGCACCAGGCCCACCACCGGCTATAAGCACTACTCGTATCGCGCGAAGAATTGGGTGCCGTGGTAGTATACGTCGGCGTAGGATCCGAAATCCAGGAATGTCACTCGAAATGTCACTCGATCCTTGATTTTCCTTATCTCTGACATCGTCATTCCGTGGACACCGCCGAACCAGGAGTTCCCATTCATTGCTTCGAGATACCACGCGCCGTCTCCGCCGAGCGAGACGCACTTGAGGTCCGCCTTTTTGTCGCGCGCCTTGAGCTTCTTGCTGAGGCCATCTGGGACAGCTCTACACGCCCAGCAGCCGTCGTCGAACACGACGAAGAAAGAGTCCCAAGCTTCACCAAAAGCGACAGTCTTCACACACCGAGACGACTCGTTCAGTGTTTTGGTCAGTTCATCGCACCCGCACCATTCGGACTTGCCGTCCGCGAACTTGATGTAGTAACGGTCCATGCTGCCGAGCGCAACATAATCTGGCGACGGCAGGCTTTTTTGGCGGCCATTGAGTTTGTTGTAAAGATATTTGGTCAGGCCACCTGTGAATGCCCAGCCACCATCTTCGTACAGCATGATGGTCGCTGTTCCATTTGTGGCAACGCACGTCACGTCATCGCGAAACATCTCACTCACAGATTTGGCATCCGGGAGCCAGAACACCCTTTTCGTTCCTCGCGCGACGCGACGACATGCAAGCTGCACCTGCGCCGCCTGTTCTATCAACTTGGCTTTGCGCCGCTCTTCCGCTTCGCGGCGCTTGACGCACGCGGCGAGGCACGCGTTCACGTCTGCCAAGTCTTTCTGGAGCCGCGCCGCTTGCGCGCGAAGCTCGGCTTCCTCGTCAAGTGGATCGACATCGGCGCGCTTCGGCACGGATTCGCAGCGGTCGTCGACGCCTCGATGATCAGCCGAGCCACCATCGAGGTCCCATGCGTTGCGACGGTGGTAGCCGGCCCCCGTGTGTGTCCGCGGATGTCGGAAGAGCTGCGCGAGCAACGCGAGGTCGACGTTGCGGCGGAATAGCTGCGTCTTTCCCTGGCGTGGATGATCAAGGCAGGTCCCAATGGTCCCAGTTGTGTAGTACACGTTGATGCGCTGCACGAAAGCCTGGCCATCGGGCGCTGCGAACGAAACGACGCGCGACTCGGGATTGTAGTAGACCTCGACGAGCCCAGCCTTGAGCGCCTCCGCGCGTACGCGATCGAGGTCCATGTCGGGCGTTTGCAAATGAAGGAGGGCGGGCGGGACGTGCGCAGCAGCCGATCTCCATACGCTGCCCAAAAAAGAATAATAAAAAAAACTGCTCCGCACAGCGCCTTCCGCGGGCATCCGCGTGGATAACCGAGCGCCGCGCTCCGCGACCCCGCATCCTCCCCGGCGGCGGCGTCCGCCGGCCACCCCCCCGCGGCCGCCATGTGGGCGTCGGAGATGGCGAAGAGCATGATCAAGATGCAGAAGTACAAGCAGCTCATGTCCTGGCTGACGCTGCTGCCCGTCATGGTCATGCTGCCCATCTTCCTCCTCGTCCAGGGGCTCATGATCTTCTGCATCGCGCGCATCCGGCGCCTCGTCCCGCTCTGCGGCCCCCAGGACCGGGAGGTGCCCGCCAAGGCCGAGATCGAGCTCTACTACTTCCACGACAGCCCCTGCTGCGCGAAGGTGCGGCTCGCGCTCGAGGAGGTGGGCCTCGGCGGGAAGGTGCGCCTCGTCCACGTCGACATCGGGCGCTACGGCAAGTACGACCACCTCAAGGACGCCCACCTCGCGCGGAACCCGACGGGCACCGTGCCCGTGCTCGTGCACCGGGGCACGCCGGTGCTCGACGCGTCGACGATCGTCCGCTACGTCGAGGAGTGCCTCGACGGCGACGCGAGCCTCGTGCCCTGCGGCGCCGAGGAGAAGCGGCGCATGGAGGCGATCGTCGACGAGTGCGATATCGATCTAAGGCCCAAGTCGCTGTCGAAGTTCGAGCACTGCTGGGGCAACGCGATCGGCCTCTTCGGGCTCCAGTCCGTGTCCTACAGCCACAAGCACTACGGCTTCTCCAAGAACTTCTACGCGCTCATGAAGCACCCGAACCCCATGATCCCCCTGAACCGCATCCTCTTCAACCTCTTCTACCTGCGCATCGAGCAGGGCAGCAAAAGAGAGCGAAATTCCCAACTTCAAAGGCTCCGATCTCGGCCGTTTTCCACTCGTTTTGGCTGATTTTTGGACGAGCGATCATCTCTCGGAACGGCCTCGAAGCGTGGGTGCTGTTTTTGAAACGCGCGCGCGCGGAACACTCACATTGAAGCGACGTTGAATCACCCTTTTGCTGCCCAGGCATCGAGCCGTCGGTGACGGAGCCCGCGGTGCAAAAGGTCGCGGCGGCCCTCGCGAGCTACGACGCGCTCCTCGCCGACGGCCGCGCCTTCCTCTGCGGCGACGCCTTCACGCTCGCCGACGCCGCCTGCGTGCCCCTCCTCCAGCGCATGGACTCGCTCGCGATCCTCGACCACTTCGTCGACGACGAGACGAAGCTCGAGCACGTCAAGGCCTACTACGCGCGCGCCAAGGCGCGGCCGTCCTTCGCCCGCGTCTTCGACGACTGGGAGCCCAAGACCAAGATCCAGAAGGAGGTCACCGCCGCGCTCAAGAAGCGCCGCAAGTTCGTCAACGCCGTCGGCGTCTACGACGCCTTCGTGCCCGAGGAGTGAGCCCGCTAAAACGACGCCCGCCGCGACGACCGGGGGGAACGGGGGCGCCTAGCTGATCGCGCAGGCCGCGGACGCGCGCCGCGACTCGACGACCTCGGCGAGCGCGTCGACGGCCCGGCGGCGGTGGAAGCTCGCGACGGCGCTGAGGAGCTCGGACTTGTCGAGGCCCGGCCGCCCGGCGGCGACGTCGTCGAGGACGCGGTCCGCGTCGCGCCGCGAGACGCCGCGCGGCGGCCCCGTCTCCGCGACGAGGAATTTGAGCGCCTTCGGCAGCGCGTCGCGGCCCACGACGCCCTCCCCGTCCCCGTAGCGCGCGCAGGCGTCGTCGAGGAGGGCCGCGTGGGCGAGGTAGCGCCGGTAGCGCTGCACGGCCCGCGGCGCCGCGCCCTCGGGCAGGTCGTCGCCGTCGCCGGCGCCGGGCCTGGGCAGGAAAAGAGTGCGAAATTCCCAACTTCAAAGGCTCCTCTCTCGGTCATGTTCCACTCGTTTCGGCTAATTCTTGGACGAGCGATCATCTCTCGGAGCGATCTCGAAGCGTGGATCCTTTCTCTGGACCAATGGCGCGCGGAACTCTCGTGTTGAAGCTATCTTGAATCACTCTTTTCCGTCGCCGGCGCCGGGCGGTTCCGCGGCGGCGACGGCGACGGCCGCGTCGCAGGGCGCCGCGCGCTCGCCCCGGAGCGCGAGCTCCGCGACGGGCGCGCGGCCGTCGGCGTCGCTCCGCGCGGGCCGCGCGATCGCCGCGCCCGCGCGGCCCCGGTGCCACCGGAGCGCCTCGCGCCGCGCGTACGCCAAGCCGTCGGCGTCCGCGGGGCCCCCGCAGAGCGCCTCGACGACGGCCGCGAGGTCGCCGGGGGACAGCGTCGCCGCGCCGCCGAGGCCCAGGGCCTCGAGGGCCGCGGAGAAGCGCCGCCGCTCGTCGTCCTTGACGGCGCGCACGGCGCTGAGGCGCCGCAGGGCCCGCGTCGCGTCGTCCCGCGACGCGATGCTCGACCGGAGGCGCAGGCTCATGGGCGAATGCGCGCGAGCCGCCGAGAGCGCCTTGTTTGCGGGCGAGCGGCGGCGCGCCGAAGACGCGTGCAACCGCGCCACATCGACGGGCTGCCCCCGGAGAGCAGTGTGGAGAAGCTTGTGTGCACTTTACGGCAAACTGCATTTGCCGCCCGCTAAAAACGTCTTACCCCCCCCCTTTTTTGTGGGGGGGTTTTTGGTCAGCCGGCTTGAAGCGGACGCCGAAGCCGTGGAAGCGGATCGTGCGCACGTCGCTGGCCGCGACCCCTGGCCCTCTCGGGCGCCTGCGACCCCGTCGCCGGGCGCCCCGGCACCCCCCGCCCCTACGTTGGGCGCTGCGTCGAGTGTGACGACGGCGTCGGCGTACGGGCACGGCCTCGGGCCGGAACGTGTTCCGAGCGTCAACCTCGGCGGACCCGGTCCGCGCGAGCCGCTCCGGCGGCACGGAGCCGCTCTCCTAGGCGCCGACAGACCCTACGCGGGCGCTGAACGCGTCGGCTGCTCGCGGGAGCCCTGAAACGCGCGCGGCGGACGCCGTCGACGCTGCGCGCTCGGCCGACCGTCTCGGCGCGACGAGCGCGCTCGCCGTCGGCGCGCACGCGACGAGCTCGACCGTCTCGACGACGAACACCATCGTCGCGGAGGTCCCCGACCGCTACACGGACGTCGTCGCCGCGCCCACGGCCTCGCCTACCAGTTCGCGGAACGACGCTCTTTGACGACCTTCTCAAGCCCGGAGATCGACGACTAGTTCGCCGATTGCGAGCCGCTGGTCGGCTTCCGCACGTTTTTCATGATGCTCGAGCTCGCCGACGACGAGTTCGCCGCCGCCGCCGCCTCTGGGAGCTCGGCGCAAAAAGGGTGGGGGGTTTTGAGAGGGGGCGCCTCTTAGCCTAAGCCTATTAGAGACCAATTGCCCCCGGAGAGCAGTGTGGAGAAGCTTGTGTGCACTTTACGGCAAACATTACCTTCTCCTCTCGTGTGCTGATTCAGCATAGCATGCTCATCATGGCGCTTGCTCGACGCGCCGCGCTACTGGTCATGTCGCTGCCGCTGGCCACGACCTTCGTCGCGCCGCGGCCGCCGCGGCGCGCGGCCGTCGCGGCGAACTACGTGCCGCTCGCGCCGGCGGACGTGGCGTCCCTGCTCGCGCCGGCGGACGTGGCGTCCCAGCTGCCGCTCGTGGCGTCCCAGCTGCCGCTCGTCATCGCGAGCGCCGCGGCGGCGCCGCCGCTGGCCCTGGGCCCGCTGGTAACCAAGGCCCTGGGCGGCGGCCTGAGCGGCGCGTCGGCGGGCGTCGTCCAGGTCCTGAGCCTCATGTGGCTGCGCACGGCCATGAACTACGAGTACTCGAACGGCGGCAACTCGACGGTCGCCACGGTCCGGAGCCTCTACGCCGAGGGCGGCGTGCCCCGGCTCTACCGCGGCGTCCAGTACGCCCTCGTCCAGAGCCCCCTGAGCCGCTTCGGCGACGCCGCGGCGAACGCGGCCGTGCCCGCGCTCGTCGTCGCGTTCTTCGCGGACGGCGGCAACCCGCTGGGCGTCGACGTCGTCGTGCCCCTCGCGGCGTCCCAGGCCTGCGCCTCCGTCGCCGCCGCGGGCTGGCGCATCCTCATCGCGCCCGTGGACACGTACAAGACGGCGCTCCAGGTCGAGGGCTCCGTCGACGGCCTCGGCGCGCGCGTCGCCGCGAACGGGCCCGCGGTGCTCTGGCGCGGCTGCCTCGCGGCGGCGGCGGCGACCTTCGTCGGCAACTACCCCTGGTTCCTCACCTACAACTACCTCGACGGCGTCCTGCCCGCCGCGGACCCCGGGCTCGAGAAGCTCGCGCGCCGCGCGGCGCTCGGCGTCGCCGCGTCCTGCGCGTCCGACGTGTGCTCCAACGGCCTCCGCGTCGTCAAGACCAAGGTCCAGACGTCGCCCGACGCCGACGCGTCGCCCCTGGACGTCGCGCGGCGCGTCCTCGACGAGGACGGCCTCCGGGGGCTCCTCGGCCGCGGCCTCAAGACGCGGCTCCTCGTCAACTGCCTCCAGGGCGCCGTCTTCTCCGTCGCCTGGAAGTACTTCGAGCAGGTCCTCTTCGCGCCGCCCTAGAGCCTAAGGGCATCCTTGCCTTCAACGTGAACTTTCAACCCTCTCAAAACCTCTCGAGCGCAATGGAGATGCGCGACGAGCTTGCTGGATTCCGCTGAGACGCTGCTCTACGACCGTGGTTGCGTCTTGCTCAGCGACGAGCGAGATGCGCCGCCGCAAGCGGAGGCGCACCGACGACACCAGCATCGCCCTCGACGCCCTGCGCGCCGCCGTCGCGTGGCCCGCGCTCGCGGCGAAGAAGCTGGACTACGCCGCAGCGCTGCGGCGCGTGCCGGGCGGCCGCGTGGCGACGTGCCGCGACCTCGTGGCGCTCGCTGGCGGCCACGGCACCATGGGAGAGACCATCGCCTGCGCGCGCGCGGTCCGCGGCCAGCCGCTCGCGCACCGCGTCGTCAAGGCCGGCGCCGCCGTCGGCGGCGCGGCGGCGCGGGCGCTCGCGGCCGAGGGCGCGGACCCGGCCGCGCCGGCGCGCGTGTCGCTCGACGCGTGCCGCGCGGAGCGCGTCGTCGAGCCGGGCGGCGGCGGGCCGACGCTCGTCTACGTCCACGGCCGCGGCGGCCTGCCGAGCACCTACGCCGCGCGGCCGGCTCGCGGCCCTCGGCCGCGTCGTGCTCCCCGGCGCGCCGGCGCACGCGGAGGACCGGACGGCGTGGCTCGACTACGAAGCCGACGGCTGGACGCCGACCGCCGCGTCCCTCGACGCCGCGAGCGCGCGCGTCGCCGCGGTGATCCGCCGCGAGGCCGGCGACGGGCGCACGGTCTACGTCGCGGCCTACTCGGAGGGCGTCGCGGTCGCGCTCGACGCCGCGCTGCGGGCGCCGGCGCGCGTCGCGGGCTTCGTCGGCGTCAACGGCACCGCGCCGCCGCCCGTCGCGTCGCGCGGCGGCGGCGCGTTCCCCGTCGTCCTGCTCTCGGGAACGGACGACGCGACGATGCCGCGGTCCCGCGTCGCGGCCGACGCCGCCGCGCTCGGGCCGCGCGTGGCCCTCGTGAGCGTCGGGGGCGCGGCCCACGGCCTCGGCGACGACGAGGGCCGCCTCCTCGACTACGGCCTCCGGCGCGTCTGGGCGGATGCGTAGGTAGCGCCTAGGCCTCCTCGACTACGGCCCCCGGCGCGTCTGGGCGGATTCGTAGACCTAACTCCTAGTTTTTCATCTCGTTGCCCTTCAAGGTGCCCGCCTCGAATATCGGGGGCTGCTCTCCGAGGCTGCTCTCCGTGGGACGGGCCGCCCGCGGCCACGATGGCGGCCCGGCCGGCCCCGGCGTCGTCCCTGTTCCAGGAGACGTGCGCCGTGACCTGCATGGGCGGCATCGTCCACGGGAAGGACCGGCGCGACCGCTCCGACGACTGCGAGGAGCTGCGCGTGGCCCACGTGTCGTCGCCCGGCCGGCTCCCCGCGGCGTCCGCCGACGACTCCGACGAGGACCTCGACGCGAGCGACAGCGTCCTCGGCGAGGCGCTGTCGACGCTCTTCTGCGCGTCGGGCGCCTACGGCCGCCGCCACCCCGTGCCGTCGATGACGTACGACGAGGTCATGGAGACGACGCGGCCCCTCGACGGCCACACGGCCGAGGTCGAGCGCATCGAGACTTTGCGGCGGTCCCTCGTGCGCGAGCTCGAGCGCATGGGGCCCCGGGACCCGCGCTACCCCCTCGTCCGCGAACACCTCGCGCGCCTCGAGGGCCGCGCGGAGCCGCGCGGGAAAAAGATGCCACACGACTTCCATGTGAGCATTCGCATGGATTTGAGACATTCTTTTGGTTCGGAGTCGAGAACCCGCCGAGAGAAAACGAGCCGTCCAAAAATCAGCCGATTCGACTTAACCGAGCGAGAGAGGTTCGAAGTTTTGACCGGTCCATGCCACTGGTTGTCTCCGGCACAGGCGCGGAGGCCGTCGCGGCCAAGCTCGCGCGCGAGGCCGGCGGCGCGGCGCCCCTGCCGGCCTACGAGCGGGGCTTCGAGGAGGACGACCGCCTCTTCGCCATCGAGCGGCCGGACGCCGAGGACGCGCGCGCGCTCCTCGACGGGCCCGAGGTGCCCATGGCCCTCGCGCTGCCCGGCCGCGCGGCGGCGCGGCCGCCGCCGCCGCCGCCCTGGCTCGGCGCGGCGCCCGCCGCCGCGGACCTCGACGACGACTGGAGCCCGACGTCGCCCGCGCGCGCGGACGCGGCGCCGCGCGGCCGCCTCTCGGAGCCCGAGCTCAGCCGGCCCGAGCGGTCCGTGGACCGGACCTACGGCGGCGGCGCGCGCCTCAGCGGCGCGCGGCGGTCCCGCAAGGTCTCCGGCGCGAGCCCCCGCCCGCCCTCGCCGCCGAAGCGCAACGCCGTCGACGACGCCTACGCGTCCGCCGTCGACGGCGAGGGCCCGGCCGCGGCGCGGCGCGCGCGGCCGCGGTCCTGACCGCACTCGCGGCGCCCTAACCTTGTGCTCTCGCTTCCAGGAGCTGTGGCGGAGGGCCTTTTTATCGGGGCGGCGGGGCGCGGGGCGACTGCGTCGGGCGCGGGCCGCTCGGGGAAGCGCTGGGGCGCTTGATGGTGCATGCAGGGGTTCGTAGACAGGGGAGCTTGGGGGATGGCATCGTGGTCCGAGGCTCACGACTGGGCCTGCGGGAGCGCGCGCGTCGAAGGCGCGAACGCGAAAAGACGCGGGTCCTCGCGCGCTCGGACCACCAGGAGTGCTCGGGGTCGGCGACGACCTCCGGCGGCGGGTGGATGAGGCCGAGCGAGTAGAGCTTCTTGTTGCCCGCGGCGATGTTGCGCATGCGCGTGCGCTCGTACTCGCTGATCTCGGCGGGCGGCGCGGGGCCGCGGCGGTGCGACCGCTTCTTCTTCTTCTTCTTGGC